CGCACTGTCGGAGGGTCAGTGCTGGGGGAGCGCCGCACTGTCGGAGGGTCAGTGCTGAGGGAGCGCCGCACTGTCGGAGGGTCAGTGCTGAGGGAGCGCCGCACTGTCGGAGGGTCAGTGCTGAGGGAGCGCCGCACTGTTGGAGGTCAGTGCTGAGGGAGCGCCGCACTGTCGGAGGGTCAGTGCTGAGGGAGCGCCGCACTGTCGGAGGGTCAGTGCTGGGGGAGTGCCGCTCTGTCGGAGGGTCAGTGCTGAGGGGATGCCATCAATTTCCCACAGCAGAGCTCACTTTCCCCCTGTGAGAGAGGCACACACAGAGTGTTGCTAGAACGTTCCATCACTGAGCACAGTGGGATGTGCTGTGTTTCCCTGATGACCACGGTGACCCTCCAAGGTGCTGGTCACATGACAACACTGAGGCCCCATAAACCCCCTCGATCACCCTCTCTGAGTCATGGCACTGAGGCCAAATATGATGCTGCAGCTCTGTGCTGGCCTCTGTCACCCAGCGTGGTGTATGCACCCCCTGAGCCAGAGTAAGAGATAAAATTAAACCAAATATTGTAAACCCCTCAGAAAGAAGAGTTTATAAGGCTCTGGGGAAAAGAGAAAAAGGAAAGTGGGACTGATGGAGACTAACGTTTTGAGTTGAATGTTCTGCTGTGGAAATGTAGTGATGGCCATAGTTTGTAATCCCACTCCTGAGATGTCTGTCCCTCACTGCCTTCACTTTCCTTCAGGGGCAAAGTCGGAGTTTCTAAGGTAAAGCTTCAAAGATCACAAAGTTTTGGTGTTGCAAATGCAAGTAGCATCAAACAGATCCTCCTGGAATGGTGTCGCTCCAAGACCATCGGATACAAGGTAAGCAAAGGGTTAACACCTTTCCACAGATGTTCGGAGGGAGGGGATGAGAATAGGTGAAGATTAATACAAGCCTTCCTAATGTATAGAGCAAGGCACATCAGATAATCTGTGTCTAATCAGCCTGCCTCCATCAGGACACCAGGAGCAACTTAAGGAGTTATTTTATATACAGACTAGTTGGTATCCTTTGAAATTTAAGGTGAAATAATTCCACAGAGGCTGGTATCCCATCACCAAGTCACCCTGTATTTACACATAGAAAGTCCTTGACTCTAGCACTGCCTCTTCAGAGTCAGCCCTTAGCGTGTCAGTATCTCTGACACTCACCCTTTCCATCTGTCAGCCAGGGCTCCCTGGTTGGAACCAGGTTAACAGCCCCAGTCAGGGAACTCTGATTCCATGAGGTCCATCCTGCTGACCTGGTTACAATCACTGCATAACGGATGCTTAGATCAAAGTTTGTAAGATATTCAGGGGATTGATAACATCGATTGAGAGAAACTATTTTCATTGGTCAGGGAATCTGATACAGGGAGCAGAATCTACAAATGAGAGCCTGACAGTGTAGAGGGAGCTTTACTCTGTATCTAACACCATGCTGTCCCTGTCTTGGGAGTGTTTGATGGGGGGACAGTGTAGAGGGAGCTTTACTCTGTATTTAACCCCGTGCTGTCCCTGTAAAGAGAGTGTTTGATGGGGGACAGTGTACAGGGAGCTTTACTCTGTATCTAACCCTATGCTGTCCCTGTCCTGGGAGTGTTTGATGGGGGACAGTGTAGAGGGATCTTTACTCTGTATCTAACTCCGTGCTGTCCCTGTCCTGGGAGTGTTTGATGGGGAACAGTGTAGAAGGAGATTTACTTTCAATTTAAAAGAGCAGAGGGAGCTTTACTCTGGATCTAGCCTTTGCTGGATACACTATATTGTATCAGGTTGAGGGGCAGCTGATTTGCTGGTGAATTGAAACCTGCCCCTGGTTCCTTACAGCTGATCGACATCCAGAACTTCTCATCAAGTTGGAGCAATGGGTTGGCCTTCTGTGCTCTCGTCCACTCGTTCTTCCCAGAAGCCTTTGACTACAACGAGCTCAGCCCCAATAACCGCAAGCAGAACTTTGAACTCGCGTTTGGTACGGCAGAGTGAGTACTGCCACAGTTCCTGTGCGTAGCCGCTCGGCTTGGCTGCAAATCGACACAGTGGGTGGGTGAGGGGTGGGGGGGTGATGCGATGCTGCAGTGTCCATGTCAGACTCAGTGCAGCCACCTGAACTCAGAATCTCTGCTCTATCTTCTCAAACAATCACAGAGCCTGTGTTATTTGTATATTACAACATGAATTAGAAGTAGGCTATTCGGCCCCTCGATTCTGCTCTCTCTTTCAATATGATGGTGGCTGATCTGTTTATCTTTCAAATCCTACATTCCCATAATCCTCAATTCCCTTTCCTAGCATGAATCTGTCATGACCCCCTTAAAAATATTCACTGCCCTCCCCATCCCCCACCCACTGAGGCAGCGTGTTCCAAAGTCCCATGACCCTCTGAGATAAAAACCTCCCTCTCCTCTCTGCCCTAAAAGGGTGACCCCTCGTTTTAAACCAGCGTGACTCCCTCCCCCTACCCACCCCCCCGCGTTCAGGACTGACCCACACGAGGATACAACCTTCCCACAATCCCCTTGGTGAGACCATTCCGGACCTTACACACTTCCGTCAGTCCCCCGCTTCCTTTTCAAAACTGCTGCAGGAACAAACCCAGTCTGTCCAACCTTTCCCCAGAAAACAACCCGCTCATTCCAGGGATCAATCCCGGAAATCCTCTCCCTGAACCAGCTCCCACACATTTACACCCTTCCTTCAATAAAGGGACTGAGACCGCACACAGTGTTCGAGATGTGGCCTCACCAATTCCCAGTGTCACTGGAACAGGGAATCCTTACCGTTCTATTCAGTTCCTCACGTACTAAAGGATAGCATCCCATTGCCCTTCCTGATTACATGCTGTACCTGCGAACTGTCCTGGTGTCGCTCCGACACTAGAACTCCCAGATCCCTCTGCACCTCGGAATTCTAGTCTTCTCCATTTAAGTAAATACTGTACTTTTTCACTGCTATTTCCCACATTATACACTGCCTGCCAGACTGTAGCAATTTGAGAGTTCAATACCAACTGGGACACAAGCCTTTCCCACATTCTCAAGGAGAATATTTTAAAACTGCACAACTTTTTGAGTTTGATTTCCTACATGCCCCAGAAAGTGGTACAGGGTGTGTGCTCCACAGACATTGGGTCTGCCACAGCAGCTGATAGATCACCTTTGGTCACTTTCTGGGAAGGTGCTGTCTTTTGGATGTTAAACTGAGCCCCTGTGGGCCCCAGTTCAAAGAGGAGCAGAGATGTTTGCCCAGTGTTCTGATCCGTACAGTCCTCACTGTTGGTAAACTGGCCACTGCATTTCTGACAACACAAGCAAAAAGGTCGTTATCTACAGAGCAGCATTTGAAGACAAGATGGTGATGAAAGGCGCTAGATGAATGCAAGTCTGATCTTTGTCCTTACCTACACCGGCCCTAAACCCCACCTCTTCCTCCGTTACATTGATGACTGTATTGGCGCCGCCTCGTGCTCCCACGAGGAGCTCGAACAGTTCATACACTTCACTAACACCTTCCACCCCAACCTTAAGTTCACCTGGACCATCTCTAACACCTCTCTCTCCTTCCTGGACCTCTCTGTTTCCACCTCGGGCAACCACCTAGAAACCGATATTCATTTCAAGCCCACCGACTCCCACAGCTACCTAGAATACTCCTCCTCCCACCCACCTTCCTGCAAAAATGCTATCCCCTATTCCCAATTCCTTCGCCTCCGCCGCATCTGCTCCCAGGATGAGGCATTCCACTCCCGTACATCTCAGTTGTCCTCGTTTTTCAAGGACCATAACTTCCCCCCCCTCAGTGGTTGAGAACGCCCTCAACCGTGTCTCCCACATCTCCCGCACCTCATCCCTCACACCCCGTCCACGCAATAAGAACCAAAAAAGAATCCCCCTCGTCCTCACGTACCACCCCACCAACCTCCGGATCCAATGCATCATCCTCCGACACTTCCGCCATCTGCAATCCGACCCCAACACCAAAGATATCTTTCCCTCCCCACCCTTATCTACTTTCCGGAGGGACCACTCTCTCCGTGACTCCCTTGTCTGCTCCACACTCCCCTCCAGCTCCACCACACCCGGCACTTTTCCCTGCAACCGCAGGAAGTGCTACACCTGCCCCCACATCTCCTCCCTCACCCCCATCCCAGGCCCCAAGAAGACTTTCCACATCAAGCAGATGTTCACCTGCACATCTGCTAATGTGGTATACTGCATCCGCTGTACCCGGTGTGGCTTCCTCTACATCGGGGAAACCAAACGGAGGCTCGGGGACCGCTTTGCAGAACACCTACACTCAGTTCGCAATAAACAACGGCACCTCCCAGTCGCGAACCAGTCGCCCCTCCCATTCCTCAGATGACATGTCCATCCTGGGCCTCCTACAGTGCCACAACGATGCCACCCGAAGGTTGCAGGAACAGCAACTCATATTCCGCTTGGGAACCCTGCAGCCCAATGGTATCAATGTGGATTTCACAAGCTTCAAAATCTCCCCTCCCCCCACCGCATCCCAAAACCAGTCCAGCTCGTCCCTGCCTCCCTAACCTGTTCTTCCTCCCACCTATCCCCTCCTCCCACCTCAAGCCGCACCTCCATCTCCTACCAACCAACCTCATCCCACCCCCTTGACCTGTCCGTCCTCCCTGGACTGACCTATCCCCTCCCTAACTCCCCACCTACACTCACCTTTACTGTCTCCATCCCCGCCTCTTCGACCTGTTTGTTTCCTCTCCACCTATCCTCTCCTCTATCCCTCTTCTATCCGCCTCCCACTCTCTCCCTATTTATTTCAAAACCCCCTTCCCCTCCCCCTTTTCTGATGAAGGGTCTCGGCCCGAAAAGTCAGCCTTTCTGCTCTGATGATGCTGCTTGGCCTGCTGTGTTCATCCAGCTCTACACCTTGTTATCTCGGATTCTCCAGCATCTGCAGTTCCTACTATCTCTGATCTTTGTCCTTGTTGTTGCAGGAAGTTGGCTCATTGTGACAGGTTGATTGAAGTGGAGGACATGATGATGATGGGGAACAAACCAGATCCAATGTGCGTGTTCACCTATGTCCAGTCCCTCTACAACCACCTACGACGCTTCGAGTAAACCTCACCTCAACAGGACTGGGGCTGGAGATGTACGCTATGCCCAGTGCTTCATCCACACCCGTCCTGGCATCATTCCCGGGGTGGGGTGGGGGGTATGTGGGAAGGTCAGCCACAACGTCTCCCAGTAAACATGGAGCAGAGACACCATCAGCAAATGCAAACCACACAATTATCAGTGCTCACAGCAGATTTATAATGGGCACTGATGCAGATGTAGCAGCTTACTTAAGATTCAAATAAAAGATCTCACTTGTGTTATTGAAGAATCTTTCTGACAAGCTGAGCTTTTCACACGGAATCCAGATTCATCAGAATTGAGTGTGGATAATGAGTCTAATTTACCAAAGGTTCTTCAGTGAGTTGCACTCTCACCTCCAACCAGAGGGACAGAGGGAGGGAGGGAGACTCACTGAGCCATGGCTGACTCTAAGCTTCGGTGAACCTTGTTGCGGGAATTCTGACACGTGCAAGCCCTCCACAGTCTTGCTCCCTGTCTCTCCAACAGTGCTGGGAGTCCCTCCATCCAGCCGCAGAATCTGGGTCACAGCTGCCAAAACCATCGAGAAACTGCCTGGGCTGCTTTATCTTTGACATGTTACAGATTCGAACAGGTTCCAGTGCCCTCCAGCACTCCCTGTGTGTTGCATTGCAAAATGACTACTTGTGGGCTCCCAATACACAGGGTATTCTGTGCTATTGTCCTGTAGGGATTCTGTGACTCTGAAACTTTATTCATGGAGCTTGAGGTTTTCGTAAGGGGAGTGGGACCTGGAAACCAGAATCATAGAGATCATAGAATCCTTACAGTTTGGCAGCAGGCCATTCAGCCCATCAGGTCTGCAATGATCCTTCGAACAACATCCCACCCAGATCGAAATCCCCCCATCCTATCCCTGTAACCCTGCATTTCCCATGGCTAACCCATCTAGCACATCCCTGGATATTATAGGCAAATTAACACAGCCAATCATCTAACCTGCTCATCTTTGGACACAGCTATCCAAAAACATACACCGTCCAGTCCCATTGTTCAGTTAAAATCACTGACCAGTCCCAGTGGGCATGGAGAGAGTCACATTCATTAAGCAACCTGAACAGAAACCATCCCTGGTCCATGGTATTTAACCTCAATCTTCAAATGGACATGACACACATGAACTTCTATGTTTTTAGGTTTAAGACAAAGACAAAAAGCAGTGTAGAAATTACCTAGAGGAGGGCTCTTGTGGTGCTGCATTAGTGCCCCTGCCTCTGAGCAAGGATACCCAGGTTCAAGCCCCACCTGCTCCAGAGGTGGTTTGTAACATCTTTAAATGGGTTGATTGTGGAAAAATATCTACAAATTACCCAGGGAGAGAGAGTGAGGGGAGAATGCACAAGTCCCTCCACACCGAGGAGCCAAGGTGAATCATATTAATGCTTCTCCGAGCAAACTTTAACAATACATTAGGGAGAAAAGAATAGAAGGTGATGGGGTGAGACGGAGTATGAAAGGTGAGTACAGGTAATTATTTGTGTGAAATTGAGAGTAAGACATTTTCTATTAGAATTAATATTTGTGTCTGAAATGTTGTCACCATAGTAACACCTGTGGGTATGGAGTAATTTTGATTGGTCGAGTCTGGTTTTAAGAGTATCACTGGACAGGGTGATGCTATTCCGAGAACACTGGGACTCCCCCCAACAATCCATGCTCGGTATCTAAATACTGCAGCTGACACATTCTCTTCAACAGTCAACATTCCAGCTAATCGGGGCAGTGTTTATGATCCTGGAATTCTGCTCCTGTCAGCCTCATATCAGCCAGCATTTGGACAGTGGATTGAGAAAGTGGGTAAGGCTGTTTACATCCAAGTCCCCAGCTCCCCCCAGGGGGCTTGGTCAGGCAAGCACAGAGCCTCCTGAGCTCAGAGATTTCAGCTTTCATCTGCATGCTGCAGCTTGGAAGCTGGTCTCACTAGCTCTAATCAACAGCATATAGTCCAGGGAGAGGAAATGTAATACAATCAGGTAGGATTCCTGCTCCTTATCTCTCAGGAGTAATCCCAGCTATGAAGTTCAATGTGCAGTATAATGCTCGAGGTTTGACTGAGATACTCGGAACAGCTGAATTACCTTCTGCGAGGCATTAGGGAATGTGGATATTCGGCTACCCTGGTCATCACAGCTTGAGCAGTAACCCATCCCATTAGCTTGGCTCAGTTCCAACACTTTCAGAATCAGAACACTGTGGGCTCAGACCCATTCTAGAGACATCAGGCAGTTAAATCAAGCTGGCATCACACCCCACTGCTCTACAGTTAAACAGAGCCCTCAGACTCCCCGTTCAGGTGGAAGTGATAAACAGAGTAGTGGTTTATGTTCCAGCTAATATTTATTCCTAAACTAAAACTGTCATTTATTTTGTTGTTGGCTATTTTAAACACCAATGGGTTTTATGCTGACAACTTCCTTCCTCACTCTGACTTTATTGACAGTATAAAACCCATCATCTTCCCAGAGAGTCATACTGGACACACAATATTACCTCTTGCAGACGCTGCTAGACTGGTGGAGTTTCTGTTTCTATTTCAGATTTCCAGCCTCTGCAGCCTTCTGATGTTGTTTTAGTCATTCAGAACCCTGGGCTAATGGCCTGGAGGCCTGTACTGACCCCTGACCCCAGCCGCTGGGAAGTTAAATTCAGCTCATTAAAATGATGGTGATGATGACCGTGATTGTTGCAAATATCCTTCGGGTCCACAGATGTCATTTAAGGAAGGAAATCTGCTGCCTTACCCTGCCTGGGCCACACATGAGCCAGACCCAAAACAATGTGGGTGACGTTTAGCCATGGTCTGACCCAACTTGACAAGTTGCTCGGTTGTATTTAAGGCAGCAGCTCACCTTCCCCTGGGGTTAGGCATGTGCCAACCTCTCACTTCTCAGGAACAACATAAAGAAAAATAATTTAGACTCAGCCCCCACAAGTGAAGCACACTTTGTGAGATCTGGCTGCCAAATGCTTTGGGATATGGAAGTCACCATATGAAAAAGGTTTCTCTTCCAGTGGCTCAATCAGAGCAGCCAGGACCAGACTTGATGGGCCAAAGGGCCTCTGCTGTGCTGTGTGATTCTATGACTGGTCTGGGCACCCAATAACTAAGCATGAAGTTGTAGGGAGTCAATGTTGCCGGGAGAGGAAGGGGAGAAGATGGAATCTGCGGGCTACACCCGAATCAAGCATGGGCACCAGGAAAACTGCTCAAAGAGGTTGTGATTAATACACAGGAGTTCAGTTTTGTGTTCACCAAACCCACCTGCCCTTAAACAGAGTATACCTTTGACAGGGAGCAACCCAATGATACTGTCCTATATACGCATAATCTCAGTATCATGGAAAGAAGCCAGGGGCAGAATCTATCTCCAGCTTGCTCAACTCTCTCTCCCCATTGAGCCAGTATTTACACCACTTTTTAGAACAAGGAGGCAATTCTAATGGCCTAGCCTGCTCGATTAGATTCTGCTCCTTCCCTACTGCGCTGGGGATTTTGTACAAACAGCCCACTGCACTGGAGTTAAAGTGCAGAACAAGAAGATCAAATCAACACATCCCCCTTTTGCTGAAGGGCATTAGTGAACAGATTGGGTTTTTACCTGAAAGATCTTTTCTTCCCTGGGACTAAGCCTCAGGGGGAGTAGAGATTTTCCAATCCCTGGAGAAACCCACAGTCCAATACACAGGTCAGGAGCACCACAGAGGAGTTATCACACGCAGTTACTTACTCCAACAGCATCTGTTTAATAATCCATACAGGGAACAGTCAGCAACAAAGACAATATTTGACACATTCAAAGGCCACAATACTGTCCAGCAACACTAATGGATGGGTCACAATAGCCAACTCACAGGAACACCGTCACCTCCAAGTCACAAATCACCCTGAAACATATCTCCCCCTTTCCAATAACGTCACAGATATCAATATCTTTCCGATTGGGCTGTGGCTTCAACTGGACTAGAACAAAGGATCACTGCTCACAGAGGCTAATAATCAATGAATCTTTCCCCAGCAACATCCACATTCTCAAAACCTGGTCATGGAACATACCCCACTGAAATGAGCTGATCTCATTTGCTGAATAAGAATTTTTAAAAACATTGATGAAGAACGAATAAACAACAAGGGTCCAGATCCCCTGATAATGTCACAGGATTTCTGTCTGGAGGATAGCTGAGAGAGAGCAGCGTGTTCCTCTACATTACCCAGACCCCAGTCTTGCCCTGTATAGGAAGGTGTGGGTGGTACATTTCATCACCGTATGGCAGAGAATCCAACGCATTTGGCCAGATGTGCTGGAGCCTATTATTGAGCCTGTGACAGGGAGACAGTAATACCACTACACCAGCCAGAAACTCAGGCCAAATGTTCTGGGGACACGGGTTTGAATCTCAACAGGGCAGATGGTGAACTGTGAATTCAAAATACTTCTGGAATAAAAACTCTAACCTAATGGTGACCAAGCAACCACTGTCAATTGTCAAAAAATACCCAGCTGATTCACTAATGTCCTTTAGGGATGGAAATCTCTGTGCTTACTTGGTCCAGTCATCCCATGACTCCAGACCCACAGCAATGTGGTAGACTCTTAACTGCCCTCTAGGCAATTAGGGGCAGGCCATAAACACGATGCCCACATCTCATGAAAGAATTAAAGAAGTCTACACCAGCCAGTTGTTCATCCTGGTCCCACCAATAAATGGGTTTGCTGTGGCCCCCTCTATCCTCAGTGACTCTACACAACAAATGCTGTCTGTGAGAAAGCTACAGCATAAAGGTGACAGGCTGTGAACACATCGCAGAGAGAGAATCCTGCTAGAAACACCAGGAAGTAGTAGTGTTGGCACCAGAGTGACCAAGCCATCAGACAGACCCAACTCCAATTCTATATTTATTAGAGTAAATATGCATAATAATTTTCTTAAAAACACAGTACCCTTAGGATGTAGGGAAAAAACATTTAGACAAACCATTAAAAGATGACTTGAAAAGAGGATGCATTTTGAGCTGTCAGTTGCAGGCCTAGCACTGTGTAAGACAGAGGGTCAGCTTCATCCCAGTGGACAAAAAGAGAAGTTGCTGGAAAAGCTCAGCAGGTCTGGCAGCAGGTCTGGTGGACCCAAAACGTTAACTCTGTTTTTATCTTCACACACACTGCCAGACCTGCTGAGCTTTTCCAGCAACTTTGTTTTTTGTTCCTGATTTACAGCATCCGCAGTTCT